TGGGGTCAATTCATAACTCGAGGATCTGAGAAGCTAGAAGGCTGAAATCTTGGGGTAATGTTCCTCACCCAAGCGAGTATTAGTGGACTCAAACCCACTCCCCGGGTAAGCGTGGTACCCGCGTATGAGCCCGCCAAATTTTTTTCGGGTAAGTTCATAACTCGGGGATGTGAAAAGCTGGAAGGCTGAAATTTTGGGGGAATGTTCCCCGCCCAAGTGGGTATTAGTGGGCTCAAACCCAGCCCCCGGGTAAGCGTGGTACCACATACGGGCCCGTGTAAATTGATAACTCAAGTACGTGAGAAACTGAAAGGATGCAATTTTGAGAGGATATACCCCGTCTACATTTTGAGAGGATATACCCCGTCTACATAAGTTTCATTCAGCCGGAACCCAGCTCTCAGGTATGCTTGGTGAAGGTGCACGGGCCCGTGAAATTTTTGTTCCAGTAAGTTGCTAACTCAGGTGCCAGGGAAGTCAGAAAGCTGAAATTTTAAAGGGAATGTTTTCTGACAATTCTAGTGGCCAGTCTTAATTTGTTTAGCTAGAAGCATTTGCCGAAAAAACCGGTGCCGGTAGCAACAAAAACTGCGGGGAACCATGCAAAAAACACATCTTCGCACGGGCAGCCCGTGCGTTGTCCAGTTATGTTCTAATGTTCGATAGGTACGCGGCTTAAGTGTCTTTCGTGCAAGTGGCTTTCTGTGACAAGAAATGGCTGGCGGTTGTCCACATTTTGCTGCATTTAGTGTGACCAGTGACCACTGCACCCATCCTTCTAATCTTTCATGTTATGCTCCCAGTGTTACGCATCGTGGGCCTGAAATTCATACACACATATTTACAAATTAGAATAAATTGGGCAGAGCAGTAGCGTAGAATTTGCTGTGAGCCTTTTTCAAGGGACGTCTAGGGGGAGGAGGGGGAGGGTTGTGGGCATTGCATGAGCTCTGTGCGTCGTACAAATTAAATTTTTAATGTCATAACTGGATAGCTTACATGCATATAGGCTTGGATTTGCATCGAAGGTCACTTCCGACATTTCATCTCGCCCATTTGCAGTGCTGAACTACCCGGAGGCAGGCAGCAGTGTCCACTCCACACCACTTTTCGTAAAAATGTCAGGAAAAAAAACTCCAGTTTTTACGTATCGGAAATTCCCAAGATCTTCGTCCAAGTGTGTATGTATGTATGTGCATGTATATATGTATGTATGCATACATGTATGTATGTGTATATATGTATGTTTGTATGTTTGAATGTGTGAACGTCTGTTAAAGAG